TTAACACGCTTTTTGTTCACATCTTTTATACATGTATATCAAAAACTTATTATTTCATGTGTACGTGTACACTGAAATTTTACTTCCTAAAATTGTAAATAAATTGCTTTCCCATGAAAAGACAATAAACTTTAGTCTCGAATTCCAAAATTCATAACCTTTGTAGTGAAACTTTAAATTTTTATCTGACAGTATAAATTACTAAAAAACATGTAATTTTTATTTATATAATAATGTGTTATCCTTTTAGATCCTGTTTCATAACGCAGGTACAAGTTTGTAATTTTTATATTAATTGCTATCAATTTCCGTAATGTCTTTTTATTTACGTCATAAAACATAGTTTCTGTAATTTCTTTCATACGAAATCGAATAAACATTTAAAACACCTTATATTAGCAACTAACAATTAAAAGGAAGAAAAAAACTTTGAAAATACATGAACGCAACTGTATTATAAAGATTCACTTTTTCATCATCAAGTGAATTGATAATAATGGAAATGTTTTTCACTTTCTCTTGCAATTTAAAATTTAATTAAATTTTCAGACAAAAGAGTCACTAAACCAAAGAAATTGACGAATATTTAATGGATAAATTTGTTCAGCCAACTGCTTGCTTTATAAAATTGTTAATCATCTTTCTCTTGAAGCATCAAAGGCAAAGAAACTACTATTAAGAACATGTAGCCTTTATGAAAAGGGTGTTCCTTGGGCTAAAATAATTTTTTATCAACTTTATGTAATCACCAAGGAGAAATATGACCTATTTAAAGCACAGGGAAGGGAGGGGGGACCTATGAATTATTTCTGGATTCATCTTCTTGGGGAAGACTCACAGACAACCTAAAGTGTATAGCTGTTTGACAACATGAAGACTAAAAGAACTCGTTTTCCAGTTCATATAACTATGTAATGTTATATCAAACTGTTGCTACAACCCTCTTAGGATAATTGGCTTTACAAACTTATGGTCTTGGGCAGACTTGATGAAGTTTATTCTAGAAACATGTGTTATGCAAACTTAAATCATAAATTTGTTTTTTTTAATTGAGAAATCATCAAAATGTATTTAAAAAAGACAAAAATTATACAATTACTGACCATTATATCTTCACTTTTTTTTTTAGCATGCTGACTTTGGTTAGTTAAATTAGCAATATAAAACAAGGTCGGGTGGTTTAATCTGTACCAAATTTGTTTAGATCTTGCATGCTATTCCAGTGTAAGCTTAGTGGGCATGTGTTAACTAATCTCTTATTGTCCTTTCATTTAATGCTCAAAAATCTATGCAGAAGCTTAAATTGTTTACTCCTTACACAGAAACTTTTTTGCCCCCTGATTTGATGGTATTATTTCAGTCTTTTTCCCTTCTTAAACCTTTGCATTTCCTTATTTCCCATAATCTTGTTTTAACACAAATATATTTTTATATGGAAACAGTAAAATGTGAGGTATACGTGATTGACACAGTAAATGAATAACAAAAATATACAAATGAAGCATTAAGTCATCTAGAAGTATTTTAAATGCATTTCCTTGTATCTATGTAAAAATTAACTTTCCCTTTTTTAATAGTTTTCTCATGAAAAAATTGAAAAGATGTACTATCTATTTGTCAAAACCACAACATGACTCATATAATACTGGTCTGATCAGCATTTATAATTTCTATCTTTTATAAGCTTTAACTATAATAGTTCACATTACTAAAAGAAGGCGGATTTGCTCCATCGAAGCGAGAACCACAAGGTAAACATAGCCAATTTTGTACAGTTATCTAAAGCCTAAACCAAATATAAAATGACATAGCATAATATGATTGCTATGACCATTACCAAAACACACAAATACATAATGTTTGCTGTAACATAAACACACACAATTTGTATACATTAAAAAGTAATTACTGTTTAATATAAGATTTTATTTCAACTCAATTGCTTCACTTTTGTATGGATGTTTGGAATTTACTCTTCAAATTAGAGTACAAAACAAGTTAATGGGGAGCATTTTTCTGTTTTAGATACAATGGAAGATGCCATTCACTGTGGTTAGAGGAGTTAATGTAAGGGATTCTGCCCAAGTCAAGTCTTTGCCTCAGCCTGAATTTCCTAGATATTTACTGTCATGAAAAATGGTTTTTGAGCTGAAAGGACAAATTTCTGTTTATTTCTTTTACTGTTATATAGAGTTAAGATACATATTTTTAGTTTGGTGGATATCCCCCCCTCCTTTTTCACATTATTGATCAGATTTATCAATAATAAAGGTATCTTTAAATTTTTAGGACAGACTGCTGTTAAAACTATTCAGAATTCAACATTTAAAAAAATCCTAAAGGAATGAGTTATATTTTTTATAATATTATCTCTTAATCTATTCATAAGTCATTCTGATTATTTAAATCTTTAAGCATGATTTCCCTGTTAAACAGTAGCGCTTTCACATCCTAAAATTTGATCAGGAGCTTTACATAATAGATGGGTTTTTTTTTCCATCAATGGCAGACTTTAATTCAAAACAGTATTTTGTACGAGATACTTTGCCCTTATAACAACTAATATCTTTATTTCCAATAAAGCAATACATCTATTTATACAACACACCAAAATCAACTTTCCGCTTCATGTGACCAGAAAAGACGCAGATTTTAAAATTCCAATCACATTATATCAAAATTCATATGAATACTAACGGTTTAATGTTTATACTAGGCCACAACAATTGAAACCCTTTCGTTGACGAAATTTTGATTCAAATGATGTTCACATGCCATTGCATGATCCTTTCATTTAAATATAATTATTGTCAATTCCTAAACACAAAATTCACGTCAAATTGATTTTCCTTACCACATCAACATTGTTTAATCGGAGATACTGATTTTAATATCTAACTTACATTGCGAGAACAGTGTGCAGCAACAAAATATGTGAATATTAAAACCGGTTGGACTTAGTATCAATCGTATTTACATTTTTCATTGATTCTTGTTGGCTACTGCAAGTTTTCACAAGTTGCAACTCAAGACTGGAGATGAATTCTCATGACATTTTCAAGAAATAATTCTTTAACTCTAAGTGAGGGAGGTTAATTGATTTTCTGTATTAGTAATAATCAACAAGCAGTAAACCTATAGTTAGAAGATGTGTCAGTTAGACACTACAATTTAAAATGAAAAATAAAAGTTTGAAGGAGATTATTTTATCCTGACTTTGTAACATCCTATCTTTCTTATTTTTAAGTACAAATTTTCTCAAGGCTTTTATGAAGACTTTTGTAAAACCCTGAAAACAAATATCCACGAAAACACAATTCTTACTTAATCCACAAAAATTGAAATAAATGACAATAAATCAATCCACAATACTTGAAGTAGTGGTATCATAGGTCCATCGATGGTTTGACAGCCATTTTTCTTCACAATGAAACCTCAGTAAAAGTTAAAATTTCATTGCCTGCTCTTCTACCCAAATTACTCTAAATTTTCAGATGACAGCATTTAAATAGAATGAAAAAGTAAAAACATTCCAAACCCAAGGAACAGGAAACTATGCGAGCATCTTCTGCAGAGGATTCCTGTCATGTTGAGATTGGCTGAGGCTTAATGAACTCAAAATTGTCTTTTAACACATTTTACTAAAAAGAACTAAGTTTCAGAAGACATTTTGCAGCAAGGATTCAACCCTCCCTCCCTCACCCCTGCCAAAATACACTTACTTAATGAAAATCTCCATAATAGTTTGCCATTTATCTGGTCTTGATTCTTTTGCCTTTGGTTAATTCTTGGAAACTAGATAAGACTGGTCAAAGCAAAAGTCTATACCATAGAAACAACTTATTTTTCTATTTTCCTTATTCCCTACAGGCTAAATTCTGTACAGTATGCATGAACATGAAAACATACGATTTTACATCAATTATTATCCTCATTACATGACTAACTTTTTATCGCTTATGTTCTGACTTTGTTAATGACCTCGGCTACAGTTTAATTAAGATGTTAAGACCCACGTTACCTTCTTTTCACAGCAAAATTTGCTGATGGCAAGGAATGTGCTTCAAGGAATGTGTTTTGTAAAGATGTATTGAAACATAGATGTATATTCTACCAATTTTAAAATTGCCCTTTTAAGAAAATTTGTTTTGAAAATACTTTCTTTTCTCAAAACAGACTTGAAATGCAAAATGCAACTGTTGCATTATCTCCTAATCTCTACGGAAAATGGAGTACAAATTTGATATAGAAAACTGAAAACGACCTTAGTGCAATAGAGTTTTTGATGGCGAATGTACACAAGTGAGTTATGACCCTGATTAGAATTTTAACATAGAACAAGAATAAATTGAACGGTTAAGTGTTGTATTTCCTTTCTTCTTTATAACAATATATTTAAAGGTGCTATTGTGTAAATAATTACTTTTCAACTTTGGAACCGATTCAAAAAAAATCACTCCAAAACAACGTAGAAAAACATGTTATGAAAATTTGATACTCAATTTACATTTGTTTAACGTGTGGCCAATTAAAGATAGAAGCTTTGAGTCTATATTAAGATCGGTAATGTTAGCTATTTCAATGTAAAATCATGTCAGGGTGATATTTACTGCAATTTCTGATGAGTATAAAATGAAGGTATTTGCCAGATGTGACTTGGAAGAATAAATAGAATATTTTATGCTTGCTAACTTTACTCTTATTTGGATATCAGTTTAAGAAATTTTCGGAAAAGAAGGATAACTGCCAGATTTAAACAATATTAATAAATAACTTTTATTCCAACCATTTCAATTTGTCATACAAAAACTTTCAAATATCCTTCTGAAAACCATGATCTACAACAAATGTCATGCTCTTCCATCGCAGGATTGCTTGATTTTGTTCTATTTTGTTCATGTTTATGCATAACAGCTGGACAACAGAAGGGTATATAGTGTGACCTATTACAAAATCTTGGTTCCAATGCCCTTTTAAGTTCATCAATAAACATCACTTACTTTGCCAAATCCTGAGAAGAAATTTTTGACATCTTCTACTGTTGTAGACGCTGATAAACCACCAACAAATATCTTCTTTGTTCTTGTAACCATCTGAAAAAAGAACAAAATTTTAAATTATACATAAACATTTACCCATATTTATCAATATTTAACACAGGTTTATTTGGTTAAAAACTAGACATATTGCTGTTTTTAAAGGTGGGAATAGCATATTCTTCCAAAATATTCTAAAGATCTATTAGAGACCCATGAGCCTAAAATGAATCCAGCTTTTAGGTTATCTTGTCACAGAGTATATACAAGCTCATTTGGAATTTCTTAAATATGAATTATGCCAAAAATGTCTTCAGATTTGTTTCTGGATCAACACCAGAGATCTGCAGTCAGATGATATTTCATTATTTGTCTAGATCTTTACCATCAAAAGACAGCAAAATGTTTCTACCAAGTTGTCACTAGATTTTCTCGATCTCTAAGAACACATAATTAATAACTATTACATGTAGTACACAGATGGGACCGATGAATATATCTTAATTGCAAACTAATTTGCAAAAATGTATTTATTCTGTGCATAAAAAACTGCTACAATAATTGCCTATTGAAATATGACTACTGTGTAGTAAGTGACAATTATCCTGGATAGTATATGCCCTAATAACATCTCGAGCACTTAGCGTTATGTAATGATTACAAGAGGTAATTTTAGAATCGGCTGTCAATTTCTAAAGGAGATCTACTGTACACAGGATTTGCATTAATGTACAACATCTTTAGTAAAGTTAATGGGCTTACTATTTGCATGAGAAAATTTTTGCTCTTTCAGTCTTGCTAAAACATTGTACAATATTCTTTGACCCAAATGTCAGCTTTAAATGACAATAAAAACAAAGGTGGCATGTTTTATTGTGTTGCTGGATTGCAATCGCAGTGACCTATATCCCACATTTCTTTCAATTCATATAAAAAAATATGAGTACAAAGTAAAACGATGTAAAATTAAAATCAATGAGACAACAACCCAGCAACACAAAAGAAGAAAGACAGGAATATAGGTCAGCATGTGGTCTTCAATATTATCATTATTATTTGGACGAGTTCTGTTATTTCATTGTTAACTTACAGTTTTTGTACTTCACAATTAAAATAAATCTTAAGTCTTGTTTATATAATCTTTTGGCATAAAACCATACAGGGCCTTCTTAAATGCAAATTGTGGAGTAAATGGCCACTGTTGAAGATCAGGATGTGAACTTCAATTGTTGAGTTTTTGGCTTTAGTACATCTGCCCCTAACATCATTTCATTTGTATATCAGATTTTAAATATTGATTTTTCTTTCATCCAACCCTTCTGAATGTCTTGACCAGTCACCCAACATGTCAGCAGCAGATGACAATTCTATATTTAGTAATAACTTATCTAATTTAAAAACAGAACAAATTGAAGACAAATTAATGATTGACTGCTCATAGTATTAGAAGGAATAATTGAGAACAATGTATGTATGCCAATGAGAAAGCAACCCAACCACAAAAAACCCCAAAGACATCATGTGAATTTCTTGCTTGTAACTCTCTTATTGTTTACATGGAAAGTCTTTGACAACTTAAAAGTTTCTTTTTAAGATATCAATTAAATTTCCTTTTCCAGAAGCATCATGCCATGTGCTTTGAAAGTGGTATCATACACTTATATTCATCTTAAACTCTTGTTTACAAAATGCCAATGTTTACTTTCAATAAAGCCTTCCTAATGTAACAATTCCATTTGTCACTTTCTTCAGATTAATGTCAACTACAAGCAATTCTACCGAGGATTCATAAATCATGAAACAATGAACCTATTAATATTAGCACAAAATGCTTTAATTGTCAAATGATTACAAACGAATTGCGAATTAATCAAGAACGATTGGTGTAGCGTATTGGATATTATGTCATACCAATGCTAATTACTCGCGAATCAAAATGACGTAAATATTAGTAAGATGACAAACAAGATACCACCTAGCAACATTCACATTTTTGTTGCGGTTTTCTCAGTATAATGAGGTTTTTCTTTTAATGTTGCAGCTGGTTCTGTTTGTGGTGCAATCAAATGGTTCTGTTGTTGAGAAAGGTATTTTCCCAGCCTTTAAATGAACGTAAAAATAACAGTTCAAATTCATTAAAAGTTAAAGACAAAGGGGAAATGGATTACATCATAGTGTGTTTTTTTTTTTTTCAACCATAAACAAAAACAGTATATTGACCAAACTGAAAAATACCATTACAATCTGACAATACCCTATTTCTCTCTCATCCTGCACTTTCCAAAAGCCCACTAATCTAAGTCCAAAATTCCAATTTAAGTTCATAGGTGTTATCGGTTATTGAAAATTCCATCAATATATTTTTACCCTAGATTTTATCATTTTGCCTATCTTATATCTTTATTAGTGATGGACAACTGTCAAAAATATTCACATAAAATTTCATTTACTCATGACATGACTTGTAGACCAAAAGTCTCAAGGAACTTATATTCTCATACCAAAATACATGCAAATACATTCATAAAACATGATATTGGAAATCACAGACCACAAAATCTGTACTAATGACCATGCATTTCATTAGTGACATCAAGGGTCAATTGTCTGTGTAAAAGTCTAATGGAAGGTCATTTGGGTCCCTTAATAGATTATCAATCTTAATACCTGTCATTCTCATTACAGGTAAAACACAGGTAAACATTTATAACTTTATCTTTATTATACCTGTACCGATAATCAAACATGACCCTTTTGTAATATGACTCACATCTGATTGTTATTATGTAGATTCAAAACTGGAAAAAAGGGGGATGGTATAAATTAAGTTAAATAACAGGAAATCAGAAGTATATGTCAATTAGACAGTCACCCAACAGCACAATCATCATCACCCCCCCCCACCCCCAAAATGTTAACTTGGTATGTCAAGCTTAAACTTAATTCACACTATTTTGTTTTTAAAAGTTCAACTTTTATTCATAACATTTGCTCATTGTTTTGGGGCTGTATATGTAATAACATCCTAAGTGTCCTTTGATATTTTGGTGGATGGTTGTCTAACTGGCATAATCCTACCACATCTCCTTATTTTTATACACCATTACCTATTTCAAACACATCTCAAAATAGTAGAATGGGGGGGGGGGGGGGGGGGGGGGGGGGTGTGTCTGTGTCTAAACATAAGATTTACAATGGAAAAGGAAAATCAGAAAAAAGGGGGAGAGTATATATTTGTTATCTAAATCAAACATATACATGTGAATACATTTGAATTTAAAGTGTGCAGGTACCCAATCTCGCCAATCCAGATCAACGAGGTTATATTCACAAATATTTATCTCACTGGATGATAAGAAGGTCCCCATATAAAATCTCTACCCTTCCTGATTTTATGTGAGCATAATATTTACTTAGGAAAGTAGACTTGGAAGTGTGAAAATCTTTTGACTTATCTGGGGCCCAATAAAGGATGATTTATTAGAGGACCACTTAAAATATATTTTAATAATTTGAACAAACTTCTCCAATAGCGTAACAGGGTTTTAAAACTAGCACAAGCATTTATTATCTTCCGTAATATTTAAAAATGAAATCAGCATCAAATAATTTACAATAAAATTAATTTCATTACTTAAAAACAGTGCTGGTGCCCCATAACCAAAAGTCACACTTTATCAGACCACTTACTATAACCATTTTAAGTATGTTGACCATATATCATACTATTGAGCAACAATAAAATATTTTTAACTTAACAATTTACAGGTTTTAGTCCCAATAAAATGACATCATTTACTTTGTCCCAACAAGGTATTATGTTAAACATAATTTTACACTTTTGGGGCTGTTTGAAGCAAAATAAATATATACTGATATCATTTCGGTTCTCGTATACATGTATAGCTAGTTAAATTTACTTAAAACCAAATGATTAAATTTACAAATCTTACGATAGCTAAAAATAGGATTTTATTGCTCAACAATCAAATCACTTCATGATCAACAGAGTCCAATTTCACTTTCTCTATTTTGAAATGTTTCCAATTTGTAATGTGTGGTCCATAGATATCTTGTAAGACATTCTAAATTGGAAATGGAATATTTAAATTAAAAATGAAAGTTTATAGATTTGTTTGATATAATACTATATATTTGCGCTGGTTTTTTTTTCACAAAAGGCATTCAGTCGTTGCATGTTTAGATACATATCACATGAAAACACGTTCAAACAAAAGTGTTGTGACTTTAACAATAATTATAGGCGGTAATTTTTAACACGTTACATGACTATAACGTGAAATAATGGCGTCTAAAGTGAAAAGAACCAAAGTTTTACAAAATTGTAGAAAAATGCACTGAAAATTTTTTGACAGGTGACTTTAATTGCCGAAATTAAAGAGAATTTGTTGACTTATAAATGTACAAGCATGGATCTATATATATCAAGGAAAATCACAGTTATGAAAAAAGTATTAAAATTTTCATAACTTCCAAATCGCATGTAATTACCTTGATTAATGAGCGAGCTTTTATTCTGTTAGGAAATTTGTAACTCATTAAAGGATGTTTAAGACTTTTTATCCTCCATAAAATTCTACTGAAGAGGAGAGATTTTAAGATCAATAATTGTAGTCTATTTCTGAAATGAATTTTATAACTCTATGAGAGAAGGAAAAAATTAATTTCCTAGGCTTTATCACAATATGTGGTGTTAGTTGTACAAGTTTCTGTAGACTATATAGTTCTTCAAAGCCTCTGTGAAAAAAGTGACCACATAATCACTAAAGACAAGTATATATGAAAGTACTAACTTCTATTTTCTAATTATAAATTTACTGTGGAATTTCATAATCGTTTGTGGAGAGCTAATTTGACAATTGATTGACTGATTATTCACCTGTGTTTAACTCCACTTCTAGCCAGTCTTGCCTATATTACAGTGGTCAGTTTGTATTAGAGGAGGAAGCAGTAGTACCCAGAGAGAACCACTGACTTTTTGAAAAACAACTGGCATTACTAGTCAATAAAGAAGATTGGCGTCAACATGCAACAGG